TCTCTCTCTCTCTCTCTCTCTCTCTCTCTCTCTCTCTCTCTCTCTCTGGCATTTTTGAACAAAGTATGTTTTAATAGTCTCCTTCCCCTGATCTCTCCCTCCCACTACCCTTGACTCCTCCTTCCAAGCCCTTCAGTCTCTTTGCCTCTTTCATGTCCCGTGTGTCCTTTTGCCTGCACCCATCCTTCCTTTTCACTTACCCCTCATCTCCTTTCTTAGTCTCCTACCAAGTTTTGAAAGCCTTACTCACAATTACATCTGTATTGTGGTGGTATACATTTGGACATCACAAGTCAGGATCTGCATATGAGAATGTGTGGCTTCTGTCTTTATGAGTTTGGTTATCTCATTTAATATTGATCTATCCAAATCCCAAGCTCCCTTTACTTTATGCAGATGGAAGTCACGGAAAGCAAAGGGTGGCTTCTTCAGCACAAGAAGTTCTGGGTCTTCGAGAGCCCAGGAGCCATGGATGGGACTAACTGATTCAAAGACCTATACCTCTTAGTGCTAAAAAATAGACGATCATGAATCCAAAGGAATAGACATATGGGTCTAGGGGCTTACAGCTCTGTGTCCACACTGTCAGCAGCGTGGACACACTCAGGAACTAGCAATCGATGGCACTAACAGGCAAAACCTAGTGTTTTGGTTTTCAGATCCCAAAGCTCCTAAAAGCAGTTGTCATTACAGCTCTTTGACCTCAGAGATTATAACTTTGGCCCCTCATGGCTTGCTGCCTCCAAGTTGTGCCCTCAGTCTCTCAACCTTTAACTTTCACAGCCTTCTACCTTCCATGATCTCAGCTTTCTAGTTCATTTTTCTTTCTTCCACCACCCTGCTGTCTCAGCTGTCTCAGTTGTCTATGTGGATCAGTTTCTGCCTTTGATCATCCCCTGGAACTTTGTTAACTGTGCTCTCTGCTAAGTCCCCTCTTCTTTTCTGTTATTAACTTAGCAGGCTCTGCTCATGATAAAGGTCACAAGCAGACAAGATAAGATCGTTCTAAGAGAACTGTTTGATGCAGTCCTACTGTTAAAAAACAAGGGTACAGCCTGTACTGAGGAGCTCCATCCAGAGGGGTCCTTGGCCAGCAAGAGGACCTACTCCTGCACTGAGGGGATCCATCCAGAGGGGTAAGTGTGTGCCCACCAGGCCGGTCAGACACACAGGGAACAGAGTACAGGACTCCTTCGATTTCCTAAACGTTTCTGGCCATCCAGCGGGGTGTCTCCCAGCTACTGGTACTGGCTTTCTCTTTTTATCCCATCCTAGCTTGTCCCCAAGCACCTATTTCCATCTGTGGGGTCCTAGGATCCCCCAACTCAGCCTACTTCAGGGCTGAGGGTCTGGAGACCCAGTGGTGAGTGCTCTGCCTCAGGGGTTTCTTTGTTCCACACAACCCTGCCTGCCCCAAACCTACCCTTTTGTCTGTGAGGTCCAGCAAGAGGACCTGCTCCTGTACTGAGGAGACCCATCCAGAGGGGTAAGTGTGTGCCTGCCCAGCCGGCCAGATGCCCCGGAAATGGAGTACAGGTTCCCTCCAATTCCCTAAACATTTCTGGCCATTCAGCAGGGTATCTCCCTGGCTACTGACTTTCTCTATTTCCCCCATCCCATCTTGTCACCAAATACTCCTTCCAATCTGTGAGGTCCTTAGATCCACCACCACAGCCTGCTTCCAGGCAGAGGGGATCTGAGAGCCAACTCCAGTGCTGAGGGGACCTAAGAGAGGGCAGACCAAGAAAAACCCTCAAGTACACAGACACAGACAGAACCAAGACACCAAGACTCTCCTGACCGCATTTGAAAGAAGAGATGGGCAGGCGCCAAAGCAAGAATTCCTCCAACAACCTCAAAAGCAACATGATAACACCAGAATCCAGCGAACATGCAACAGGAAGACTTGAATAACCTAATCCAGAAGAGGTAGAAGAAATCGACTTTAAATGTAACATTATGAAAGTGATAGAGATGCTTAAACAGGATGTGAAAAACTCCCTTAAATAAATGGAAGAGAAGACAAACAAAAAGTTGGAAGAAATTAATAAATCCCTCAAAGATAACCAAGAAAACCAAGAAAAAACAATCAAACAGGTAAAGGAAACAGTTCAAGACTTGAAGACCGAAATGGTAATGAATGAAGAAAACACAAACCAAGGGATGGCTGGATATGGAAAATCTCAGTAAACAAACAGGAACTACATAGAGAAATATAACCAACAGAATACAAGAGATAGAAGAAAAAATCTCAGACACTAAAGATACTATAGAGAAAATAAACTCATTGATCAAAGAAAACAGCAAATTCAACAAATTTTTAACACAAAACATCCAGGAAATCTGGAACAGCATGAAAAGACCAAACCTAAGAATAATAGGGGTAAAAGAAGAAGAAGAATTACAACTCAAAGGCCCAGAAAATATATTCAACAAAATTATAGAAGAAAACTTTCCCAACCTAAAGAAGGATATTCCTATGAAAATACAAGAAGCATACAGAACACCAAATAGGCTGGATCAAAAAAAATCCCCTTGCCTTATAATAATCAAAACACAAAACATACAGAATAAAGAAAAATATTAAGAGCTGCAAAGGAAAAGGTCAAGTAACATATAAATGTAAACCTATCAGAATAACAACCTGACTTCTCTATGGAAACCATGAAAGTCAGAAGGTCTTGGATAGATATGTTACAAACACTAAGAGACCATGGATAGAAACCCAGACTACTATACCCAGCAAAGCTTTCTTTCACCATTGATGGAGAAAACAAGATATTCCAGGACAAAAACAAATTTAAACAATACATAACCACAAACCCAGCCCTTATAGAAAGTACTAGAAGGAAAACCACAACCAAAGGAAGCCAACAACATCCATAATAACATAGACATCTAACAACCCTCTACCAACACAACTCAAAGAAGGGAAACAAACAAACACTACCACCAAAAAAAAAATAACTGGAGTTAACAACCACTGGTTATTAATGTCACTTAATATCAACAGACTCAATTCACCTGTAAAAAGGCACAGGTTAATGTATAGGAGGTTCTTATGTTTATGTGTTGCTTTCATTGGTTGAATAAAGATACTGCCTTAGCCTTTTGATAGGGCAGAACTTAGGTGGGCAGGGAAGACAGAAGAAAATTCTGGGAAGAAGGGCAGAGTCTGGCAGACACCATGATTTTCCTGCCTGAGACAGATGCTGGTTAGACTCTTTCCCAGTAAGCCACAACCTCGTGGTGATATGCAGATTATTAGAAATAGGTTAAACTAATATGGGAGAGTTAGCCAAAAAGAGGCTAGAACAAATAGGCCAGGCAGTGATTTAATTAATACAATTTCTGTGTGGTTATTTCGGGGGAGGGGGTTAAGCTAGCTGGGCAGTGGGACATGGTCTGCTCTGCACCTCCCTACAACAGGTTAAGAGAATGGATACAAAAACAGGATCCAACATTCTGCTGTTTACAAGAAACACACCTCAACCACAAAGACAGATATTACCTCAGAGTAAAGGGTTGGGAAAAGGTTTATCAATCAAAGGACCTAAGAAACAAGCAGGTGTGGTTTTAGTAATATCTAACAAAATTGATTTCAAACTAAAATCAATCAGAAGAGATGGAGAAGAACACTTTATACTCATAACAGGAA